GGGGAGGAATAGTAGACCAAAACCCTGAGTTAACTTCTCTATCATGCCATCATGTAAAGACTTTTTAATGCTTTCTTAAATAAGGTATTTTCCTTAGCATGAAAAGAAAAAAACCATAACTTATGCATAGTACGATTAAAAATCTGCAAAATTAAAGCACAAAATTTTACTCAGTCCTCATCAAGACTTCGATCACTCAATGTTTTATTCATCTTTTTCTTGGCCTAACTGCACAGGACTGACTCAATTCTAGAGTTTGTCTATTTCCAGGGACTTAAGAATTGCTTGAGAATAACAGAAAAGTGACCCATACTGGTTTCATGAAAACATTAAGCGTGTGTCTATAAGGAGTCAGGCTCTCTCCTGTAGAAAGAGGCTCTTTCTACACATTTCTAATTAGCTATCAACCATAATTTCATGAAATCCACTTGAAACATTTCATGTCCTCCAACCACCACTGCTCTCTTCTTCATTTTCTCCTGTCTCTCTGGGTGTTCCCTAGTCTATTTACCACATCTGAACCACCTACATCTTGGTTGTACTCTGCACAAGGTAAAGAGACATGGGAGCTTGACTGCTCTAAAAGAACTATATATACCACCACATTCTGCAAATAGGCATAGAGAAGGATGCAAAAGGAGATACCAGTTTAATGACCTACAAAATAAAATATGTACATAAAAATGTCCCAACCCCAACTGGTTTTCCCTCTGCATTATCTAATTTCACAGTAACCTAAGAACTATGACTTTTGACTATCTGATGTTTCTTCCAACTTCCTATACCCTAAAAACCATCAAGTTTTTGTTAGCATTAATGTGCATTCCTCGTGCTCTGTACCTGTCCCACCTTTGATCCCACTTGTCCTTACCAGGGCAGGGCGCTTTTCCATCTCAGAGGTGAGACCTTACACAGCAGTGGGAAGTGCCCACAAAGATCAGTACTGAAATAATAGCTAAACCACAAGACTCTGAGCCTAAGACTTTTTCTCTACTAGAATTAGCTATAATACTATCCATCATGAGGATCAGTAATAACAGAGTTCCAGGTGCACAGTATAAATTCAGTAACAAGCTTCACATATGGATTGTACATCGCCAGTCTCCCTTCAGATTCAACCAATCCCCTCCACACTGCCACTGCTCTGTCTATTAAAGCACACAACTGGTCACTGAGGGGTACACTAGTGCCCCAGCTCTACCTTTATTTTGGGTACTAGGGATCAAACTCTGAACCTTGTGCTTGCCAGGCACACTTATGCTGCTGAGCTATCTGCCCAGCTTACTTTTCAGTATTTATTTAAAACTATTTCTCTCCTAGGCTGGCTATGTTTCATTGCTTTCCAGGTGATCTGTTTTACTCAAAGAAGCATCACGTTTGTATAATTCTGTCTCTTACAGTGCTCCTTCTGTAATAGGTCTTGCTTTATCTTGGTCTTAACCATCCAACAGAAAAGTATAAAAATGAAGTATATAAAGTAAAGCCATATTAATATGCTGAGTGTGAAAGGTTCAAGTCAACAACTTCTGTGGATAACCTACTACTATTGTGAACCTCTGGACTGTGTTGGACTGTTTTGCTGAATTCACACACCTATAGTATTTAGATGCCAATGGAATACCCATCTCTGACAGGACTAAACAAAAAAAGGGGATACAAAGGAAGGACCATTCTGTATCTGTATATACAGAATAGTTAGGATAGATATACACCTACTTTTGCTTAAATCAATGAGAAGAAAGATTTTTACTAATAGTGCTTGGACAGGATATGATGTCTGTATCTTGTACTATGGATAACCACTAAGAAGACAACAATGTACAATGTATTAATTATTGAAAATGTCCTAAAGATCAGTTTTGAAATGCTCTCATTGCTATTTGTTTCTCAATAAAATAATTTTTTTTAAAAAATGCTCCTTCTGCTTGGGATTCTATCCTTCTGATTTGGAATTGTTAGCATTAATGTGCATTCTGTAGTGTACTCCTCAGTGACCAGCTGTGTGCTTTAATAGACATAGTAGTGGCAATGTGGAGGGGATCGGTTGAATCTGAAGGGAGATTGGAGATGTGCAATCCATATGTGAATAGGTCCTATAATCTCATGAATGTCTAATTTTTTAAAAAATTATGCACCTGATCTCTATTCCACACTGGATTGATTATGTTGGCTACCTGGCTGAGGTTTGTTTCTTTTTTATACTTTTACTTCCCATTGCACTTAGCCCAGGATCAAGCCAATCAAAGACATTATTTGCTTAATGAACAAGAAGAAGAAAGTAAGAGAAGTGAAGAGAAACACCAGAGAAAATATGTGTTTCAAAAACTCATGGATGAAGCAATATGAGCACATTCCAAGTTGCTAAACAGTGTTGTGATTAATTATAAACTACCACTAAGATCCTGGGCACACCCATGCTGTTTTCTTCTTCAATATGCAGCAGGTGATGCTTGTGATTACAAGCTGGTGTTTGGCATAGGTTCTGTTTGGAAGACTGGAGGGCTGCTATTGATAAATTCAACCCTGTGGCTCTGTCATTCCTTCACAGTCTGGCATTTGTGCCAATACATTCTGAAATCCTTCAAGGCAATCAAGTTACCAAGATGCTGGGATGGGCTGGTTGTCCTCAGAGGTGTGCTTGTGAACTGATCGTGGTGCATTAGAGCCTGTGTGTAATAACTGTGTTAATCTAGTCATTATTATTCCAGGTTGCTAAAGCAAAGACTTATTTTGTGGGTAAGGCAGGTGATGATGGGGCTTAGTAGTACTGAAATACTACTTTTCAAATGCTCTTTACTATCTAGGATTCTGTCCTAAGTCTAAAATATTTCCTTGATCAAAAGGTATCTATGTAAATGAAGCAGTAAAATTGTACAATCTGCAGCCCAATAATTCTCCAGTGAGAAATGTCAACTTCATAACAGCCATAGGGGACTATTATGCAAAACAAAAAAATCCTCACGTATGACTGCTGCAAACATATGAGTTTCCCTGAAATATAAAATGCTAAAGGAAAAAGAGTAATTTGTCAATATGATTTTCCAGAAAAGTACTCCAAAATACTCAGGAATTAGATGCTGAATTCTACAAAATAGGGAAGAAGTACTGCACTGAGTTCACAGAAAAAAAAGTTGATTCAAAGTGTGGATTTTTTTGATCTCTCATCTTTTACTTAGAATAGTACAAATTCTACAATAAACAAGGTAAGAAGTATAATACACAGGACTGCATTAAAATGCTGCTGATAAAAGAACTGGATGGGACTGGTGAGATGGCTCAGTGGTCTAAAGCACCTACTTAGAACAAGCTTAGCAAAGCACAGG